ATTATTATAACATATACTTCATCAAATTGCTGCTTTTTTACTTGTTTTATCCATTCAAATGTGAACAAATCATGCATTCCTAAAATTTCTTCAATCTATAGTTAAACAAGTTAACGATAGAAATATGCCAAAACATCATGGTGGATGACCCTAGGGCCTCTGAGCACGCAGTAACTGAAACTGCAAAATTTTCATATTGGTTGAACGAAGCTTCACAATGAAGCTTACGAGCGCCCTTCTACTTGTCCCTCCATGCAATATCATTACTCACAAAACTAAATGATAACCTTGAAGAAACTGGCCGTTGTATGATAACAATAGTGTATTAGGAACGAGTTTGTTTAAATAGCACGCTGAAAATTCCAAACTATATAAGATTATTCTTTGGAATAAAATGATTATTATTATTATCACTTTTAAGAGTTTGTTCACAGTACAAGTTCTTAACTAAGTGAATTATTACGACTTTAGGTCGTGTTTGTTTTCACCTACGATTCCTTGCTCCTTCATCTCTTATTGTTTCTTGAGAATCTGTGAGAAAGTTAAACAAATATTGCATAATTTTAGTTTGGAATTCATCATGGATTGACATCATTTGGAGGAACATTGGAAACCAGAGAGCACCGGACACCTATTTCGTCCCATTGATGAACTCTTCAGCAGTGCGCACGCATGACTGCGCCAGGGAACCTGAAGGTCCCTGGTTTGATCCCTGGTTAGGCGGGGTCATGAGTGAGCACTGCTGAGGAGTACTGTAATAGGACGAAACTGCTGTCCAGTGTTCCCGGGTTTCTATTGCTCCTCCAACTTCTGTCAATCCATGATGAATTCCAACCTGAAATTAATTAATAAACCTCCACTAACCTCCAGATAGAATTATCATTCAAAATGCAGTAGTATGGGTTTATTGTGTCAAGAATACACAAATTCGGTTAACCCTCTTATTTTCAGATAGCTTACTATCAGTGTAAGCTACAGTTTTCTCACCAGTAATACATTATGAAATGCATCCTAACCATGATGACCTGGTATTTCATGAGTTTAATTAACCTTATATTGTTTGGAACAGTTCCGTTTCGCTTTGATGACTACTCAGCAGGAAACATTTTCCATCTAGAGCGTTAAAAATGGATTTTATACTGAAGGTTCTCCAGGAATTATTTAGTTGAAAATAGTATATATTCCTAAACATTCGTGAATTTACCGACTTTCTGGACTTACAACCCATATTCGTAAACTTCAATTATCTACCAAGACTTCAAAATGTGATGTTTGTGTGAATATATACACAACGTTTTAGTTCAGTGAGTAACATTTAATGCAGTGCATAGTGAAACTCCAGTAATCAGGGATTATTACTAGTTTAGTTAAAATTTCTCTGATATGAAATGTTCCTTGAAATGTTTAAAAGGCAGACAAACGTTAAAATGTGCGTTTTACCCGTATGGATGACATTTTATATCAAAAGGCGTGAGAGAAAATCGATGTGTTAACTGTTTTTAGGCGATTCTTTATATCCAACTCATTTTCTTTAATACCCAAAAGTGTGTAAGCAAAAAGAAGGAACGGCTTGGGATATCATGATACCTGTTTGTTTGTGATTGTCACAGGAATCCAGGATGAGCATTTCATTCAATCTGAGACTCGTCGGCTGAATTTACCTGCCTCCCAGCGCAGAGTAATGTTTTTCCCACTGTGAATCGGACTTCGTATTCATCGCTTCAAACGCCAAGGCATAATCCACTATCCCAATGGGGAACAATAGCCACTTCTTGTACAACGGGTATTACTGTTTATTGATATACTTGTAATTCTTCTTTCTTCAATAAAACAACGGAGAATCGCTGTTGTTTTATTGGATCGGACTATTCGACCTCTATTGGCATATGGGCTCCTATGCATATGCTTCAATAATGCCTGGGTGTTAATTATGGTAATTTGGTTGATTGTGACTATCATGATTCCTAATGACTAATAGCTAAACAAAGGCTATTAACTGGTAAAGATGAGCTATATTCCTCATTTTCTACAACTGAATCTTTATCTAAATAAAATTATGGGTGCTGTTTTGCTTATTCTATTCAGCTTATTTCCAGAACTCTTTTAAGTGTAAAGTAGATAGATTAAATGAAATTATAGTGAAAATATTTCAAGTTGTTATTCATCGTAGACTGACATCATTTGGAGGAACAAAGGAAACCTGGGAGCACTGGACAGCTGTTTCGTCCTAGTATGGGACTCCTCAGCAGTGCGCACCCACAAACCACCACCAGCAGGGATCGAACCCGCGACCTTCGGGTTCCGCGGCCAGCGCGTTACCATTGAGCCAATGTTCCATATTTCCAACTTCTGTCCAGTGCTCCCAGGTTTCCTTTGTTCCTCCAACTGATGTTAGTCTACGGTGAATAACAACTTGAAATATTTCAAAATCTCCACAACTGCCTCAAAAAATATTTCAATTGGTAATGCAACGTATCTATATTCTGTTATACTTAAAAACGGTGGTTTCTATAGCCATTAGATTCTACCCTCCTTACCGTAACCAATTACATTTCTTCTTAAGTGAACGTAAAAATTCTGACTATATTTACAGGTGGCTAGCACACTGATTGTTCACTGAGTGCACATCGAATTCAGTCGCTCATTTTCAAAAGGCGCCATCAAGCTAATAGGCTAACCATTGCCACGTGCTTTGATGAATATTAGTTGTATGGAGGCAATCACAAGGAAGCCATAGACCTAAGATTCGTTCTTATTTGCACATGTCAAAAAGATGGATCTGCAACCTCTGAGGGACTGGTTTTACCTCTGATATTGTGAACCAGTTTCACACAGTGTAGTAAGCAGTGATGTTACTATTGAGCTAATCATGCAGCGATCACACCTTCTGTAAGACTAGTCACGGAAGAGCAAACAGTTTCATGTTATCCAGTTGTGTATGCACAGAGAATTGCCTAATGTCTTTCTCAGTCTAGAAGGCTCAGGATAGTGATGCTCATTGAGGGATGTTAATTGACTGGCGATATGTGTAAATGTTCCTGTCACACTTATAATACTGTAACGTCGTTCTACCCTCCCAATCAAATTGTACAGCTGAGTATTCTTATATCACGTATAAATATGACACATTCATTCCTTTATATATATATATATATATATATATATATATATATATATATTACCTATCAAGTAATCTTCACAGCAGCCTATCTGGCAACAGATGTCAAACAGTTTAATTTGGTATATATGCAGAAAATTGAAACGACCAGTAAACAGTTTTCAGAAAGATTTGTAAGATTCTTGATGGGGCTCAATATATTGCTGTTTACCTCAGATATAGTATTTTTTCCCCTTGGGTTCCTGGTGGAACGTAGGGTTTCAGTAGCACGTCAAAATTTCACTCTACTCTCTGCAGTCTTTTCAGTCTGGCGCAACGACTGCCCACAAGCCTTCATTTCTTCCGCACATGATCTCCTCCGTGTCACCCTCAGCTGGGACACCCAACTCGTCGTTTCCCGTTTATAATTCCACTAGACGGTTTGGCCAAGTGAATGATGTCTCCGGATGGTTTTCTAAGTATATGCCCATTCCATCTCCACTTTCTTCTGCCTATTTATTCAGCGATAGGTTCTTGGTTGGATCGCTTCCACAGTTGAATGTCCAAATATGGTAAACTTATCTAATATTTCTTTTTAAAAAACAAATTTCACTCATTTGCCAAAATTATTTCAGTACCAAAAGACAAGGTGAAATTATTATCCGAAAGGGAAACTGTATTCCTATATTTTTGTGTACATCATGCATGTTTAATGTGTGTATTTTAAACAGGATCAAATATCTTCATTACACTGAAGCAATGTAGATCTTCTACATAGCGTTAACCTTCAGAGTTAATAGAGAAAATACTGAAAAAAGCTACTCTTCTCCACTTATTTTTACTGACAACTACTAGTTACTATGATAACTTTCTGTCAACTTAGGTTACATGAGTGTAATTCTGGACTTAAATTGAAAGAAGAATCACCTTAGCATTGCTAGTTGGTGCGAATGTAAACCATAGCACAGACAACTGATATAAAGTGAAACAGAATAGAAGCGGTATAAAATTGCACAATCCGTTCTTAGTACCTAGTCTAATAAACTTCATTCCATCTGAATTCATTTTAGATGCAACAAAAATGTTCTCATATCTCTACACAACAACATATTAGATATTTCGTTAAGAACAACCAGCTAGCATGTTTATACTGGGTGATGACTGAAGGTGAAATGAAAATCTGTGCAGCGGCCTGATTCGAATCAGTAGCAATAAGGTTACCAGCCCGGTGCTCTACCGTCTGAGCTACGAGGTCCAACTGCTAACCAGAATTTTATTACACTTCAGCCACAAGTGGAGCTTGCCCGACTACCACGTGAATTCGTGCTATGTCACTACCGCTTGATCGTATTCACACTGGCTGACCTTGTAGTTCAGTTGGTAGAGCACCAGCCTGGTATCCCGGGTCTCGCTGGTTCCATTCCAGTCACGGTCTACACTTTCATCTCACCTTCAATCATCACCCAGTATCAATAACAATCTGACAAACCACGGCCATCCCACACAGTCAAATCATAATCAATATGATGCTCCCCTTCTGGAATTCAGTTGGATTTCGATTGGGGTGAGAAGTGCTGACTAGGCAGCCAGTGTGAATACGATCAAGTGGTAGTAACGCGTCATGAATTCACATGGTATTCACATGGTACAAAACCCTTGTTGATTGAAGTGAAGTACTAAAAGATCTGGTGAGCAAACAGACCGCATAGGTGAGTTGTGGAGGATCTGGCTGGAAACCCGTTGGTCACTGGTTGGAATCCGTCTGCGGTCTAAATTTCCATTTCAACTTCAACCATCACCGCTTAGTATAAATACTGGTCTGTCAAACTATGGCTATCTCAGATAGTCAAATGATAAGCTAGTATTTAAATGAAACTGATCATTGACGAAAATACAAAAATTGCATTGAGATAATTTTATCTATGGTTAACTCTTAAAATACATTGAAGTATAGGACAAACAGGAATGATTTTGCTCACCTAAGATATTTTTATACACCTATAAATTTAAGTTTGCACTGAATTTTACATGCTGAAAATAAAGAGATCACAAGGTATATGCATAATTTCGGTATCCGATAAAAATACACATTATATGTTATGAGGTATTCGCAGTCGTTGTGAGAATGCATGGAGTGAAAGTAGTGTAGTAGGTATCGGAATGTGTAAAATTATCCAGCTTGATGATGTCGTCTTCATCATCAACTGTCATGTAACTAGTGGTGATCACCTTACCAACTTGATCTTCAGGTAACACTGGTAATACATTCGATTTCATATTACATGTAGGTACAACTGTAGCGACAATAGCCAAGGAATGAGACGTCATTTGTTCGTTTATGCTCTGATGCATATTACTGTGAAATTGGTCAGTATTTTTTCGATCAGTCGTAATACTGTTTTCTTGAGTTATGCATAAAGGTACAGCGAAAGTTTCATTAGAAACGTGTAACAGTTGAAGGGGAATTTTATCTGTAAAGTCAAATACTGAGCTGATAGGTGAATAATGCAGCTCTTCTGAACTCCTCAACATACTCACTGGAATAAGAGCATGGATGGTATTTTCAACAGAAGTGGAAGAACAACTGATATATGTCTCGTTTGATGATGAAATCGGTTTCATTGTGTTCATTTTATTTATCTCTTTGTCACTTTCATAATTACATTTATCATTATCAATGTAACAACATTCATTGTTCGGTCTTGAGGTAGAAAGTTGTGAATCAACAAATGTTTCTAAAAGAATCTCAGAGTTAACAGATGAATTATTAGATTTACCTTTAGGTTGGTTGTTAACAGACAGTTTGTTCACATTATCACATTCATGTGTACCCACTGTTGCATATTTTGAACGATTACGAAAACGACGATTCAACTTAAGACGTACTGATAGAAGAATTAAACAAATGATAATAATAGTAGCAATTACACCACCTCCAATTAAAAGGGATAAAGTCTGCATACTTTGTGATGAAGAATATATGTACAAACTAGTAGAATCTGTGTTCACAACTGAAGGTATAATTTCAGTTAACTTTCCAAGGGAATGTATTTGTGAAGTCAATTGTTTAGTATGTTTCTCTTTCTGATAATAAGCAGACAATTTCTCTGGACTGTTAATTTCTAAGAGATTTTGATCATTAGTCAAATAGATAACTAGTTTAGCTAAAGAGTTTCGATGAACACTTCCGTTATCTTCAGCTTTTAACCATATTTCAAGAAATCCATCCGGTAATATAGTAAGTGAATGTTTGACCTTTAATTCACCTGAATGACAATCAAGTATAAAGAAGTATGAAATTATTTGATTTAATAAATATTCTGAATTAGAGTTGGAAAATTTTTCGTTGTTGAAAGATGATATATAATATTTTACATAGCCGTTTTTTAACGGTTCATCGTTATCTATAGCTCGAACACGTGTGACTATTGTTCCAACTGATACTAACTTGGAAATTGATACTAAAAAGTCTGTTTTAGTTGGAAATTGCCATTCTGGACTATTATCATTAATATCTGTTAATATAATTCTTATTTTTGTATACGAGGTTAATTTTGGTTCACCTAAATCATGAGCACCAATAACTAGATCAATAATTGGTGTCTTTTCTCTATCCAATCTTCCTTCACACCATAATGATCCATCTGAATCAATTAATATCTTAGACTGATTAGAATAATTTTCATTTGAACTTAGTTGACTGAATATTTTTGTATTGACTGTATCCTCATTCTTTTCAAATGTAAGTTCAGCAATAAAGTAAACAATTTCAGCATTTTTACCATTATCACGATCTAATGCTTTTACATTACCTATTGACTTTGTCTGTATAGTTTCCTCTTCAAATTCTATAACTCTTAATCCATTCAAACTTTTAATTGGCTCTATAATTGAATATCCGTCAAATTGTAGTTCATTTAAAGGTGGTAAAATAAATTCTGGTGGGTTATCATTCAAATCTTCGATAACAATGTTAATTATTACTGATGTTGTTAACGCTTGTTGAATTTTTTTCACATCATATATAATAATGAATAATATGTAAGTGTTAACACTTTCATAATCAATTTCAGTAGTAGTTTTTATAATACCATTCGAATTATGAATCATAAATGGTTCTGATAAGTTTTTAGTTTTTTGTATAAATTGTATAACTGAATTTGTATCCTGATCTGTAGCGATCAACTTAACAATCTGTGAACCAATTGGTATATTTTCTGGTATACTGATATCATATATATATGTATGATTAATAAAAGTCCTGAGTGAAATAGATGAACATAATGATGATGAATTGATTAGTTGAAGATTTGGATAATATTCATTTACATCAAGAACAGCGATAAGGATAGGTAAAGAAGTAGATAGTCTGGGTACACCAAGATCATTACACACCAGTAATAAGCCTAAATAACCAGCAATATTTTCATATTTTCGTACTGGTTTATTTTCACTTAGTAGTAAATTTTCATATAAACTTTCTGCATCTAATTGTTTGGTTAAAATTAACTTTTGCACTATTGTTCGCTCACTAATACGATTAACATGGATCAATTGAAATACTTCTATATTATGGACATCTATTCTTATATCGAGATTGAAAGCATAGCGAAATGGTTCACTTTGATTTGAACGACTAAGTCTGCAAATAGTTTCAGCATTCTCCCCTTCATCTTCATCAGTCACTTTAAAATAAGCTATAGGTGTATTCACCAATGTCCCTTCTGAGATTTTTAATAGTATAAGAGGTCTAGAATGATTTTTATGATCAATTTCAAAGTTGTTAGCATAATATACATTTGTGTCTTGAGTTTGTTGAATTTCAATTCTTGGCGAATGATTATTCACATCTAACACATGAATATGTATCTTTGCAACATTATTCCTGTTGATGTTTGAATCATTGAAAACACTTTTACTTGTAAGAATTACACCTTCTGTTGATCTACTCATCAATGTTTCATTATAATCTATAAGATCAATTGCTTCCACAAGAAATCTATAACTTCCTGGCTTTGGTAAAGATTTTATGAGTTGAATAACACCAGTTCCTGGATCAATATAAAAAAGATTTTCAATATTTAACTTTACTATATCTGAATTATATATCATACGATAAAAAATTTTGTTATATGGTGTAGAATCGTTATCTTTAGCAGTCACTTTAAGAATATGACTACCAATAGGTGTTGTTTCTTTGATCATAACTGTATAGTTTGTTTTTTCAAACCATGGAGATTCATCATTTACATTATTCACAATGACTTGTATAAATTGTGTTGAACAATGAATAGGTAGATTAGTTATACTAATGTTATCATCACATACTGTTAAGTTCAACTTGTACTCAGATTGACTTTCATAATCTAAAGGTTCTGTTAAAACAAGATATAAATCATTAGATCCATTTAATTTATTCAATGGTAAATTGTTCACTATACGAAAAGGATTAGTAAATTGATTCTTTTCATCTATTGTAAGGTAATAATACAATTGACTGTATCCATTAAAATCTATATCATATGCTGATATAAGTGGAATTTTTGTAATTTCAGGTAAACTTGATTCATTAATAAAAATATATTGTATGTTATGAAAAGAATTTTGTATTGGAAATATTGGTGAATTATCATTAATATCTTCAATTTGTATATTAACTGATATTAATATTCGATTATTGATTGAAATAAGTAAGTTAATTGTACAAAAGTGTTCAATAATTATTCTTTCATATAATTGTTTCATTAAAATTTTATTATTCTTATTATTAATACATAATTTTTCATTATCTAAAATATTTTTTGCTTCAATTGTTGTATACATATCACCAGTATATCGATTTATATGAAAACATTTTAACCAATTTGATTCTAATGCTTCAAGTTGTATACTACGAATTGAATTTTTTAATATGCCAATTGATTGAAAAATATTTCCTAATAAAGTATTCGGTTCAGGATGTTCTTTAGTATAGAATGTGATCTCTTTCATAGAATTTATACTGTGAACATAAATCATTGAATTGATTAAGAAAAGTAAGTATATGTATAAATCCGAATAAAATAATGATTGCATATGGTGAAATTCATAGAGTTTTCAACTTTTTTGGCATTCATGACATTGTAATACATGAGCAGGCAGACTATCGCTCAAAAACGGATATCTCTATCTATATACATATATATATATATATATATTTGTTTAAAAGAGAAGATTGTTTAGATTCCGTATGAAAGACTGATTGAAACTTGACTGTATAAGAAAATACAATTTCTTTTCTTCCAGTTAAGTGCATATATATATATATATATATATACATATATATATATCCAGTCGCTTTGGATTGTACAAATCAATGCCAACAAACTACATATTAAATGAAAAGACAAAAAACGTGTGTATGTGTGATACATCAGACGGAAATTTCTCATTGGATAGTTCCTTTGACCAATCCTATTAGATTGGTTTTATTAAATACAGTGTTATACAATATTGTTTACTTGATGACGTTTCCAGTATATCAATGCAATCACACTACTTTCATCATCTGATTCCTATAGTCCTACCACTCATCTCATATTCTTTCCTTTGATTGGTAATAGAATTTCCATATCTCTGGTGTAGGTGCCACATCATTCCCATTACATGTGTTGAGTGTTGACTAATACGATGAACAAAGATTAGGTAACCAATCTCTCTCACTCTCTCCACCTAATTATATTGGACTAAAGTACAGTAGTTTTATCTCACCCATCCTACTGTGTGGTTGCGTGTTAATGCATCCACTCCATTAGCCGACTTTCCTTCTAGATAAATGATCTTATTTGAGTCCATCATTCTACATCTAGCCAAATTCCTATCTATTCATGTATAAGAACAAGACATATATCAGCGAAAAAACATTTCTTTTCAACAACTTCATTATCAAGCTGTACAGTCGTAATTATACTCGGTAAAATGACACAATTGCACTAAGAAGTTACTCAGTTAATATGCAAAATATACAATAGGTGCAGGTAGTGGCATTTGTTCAAGTGGAAGGAAAAAGGGAATGAGTCGCTGAATAAGAAACGAAGTGACAACAAGTGGTGAGATAAGAGACACGCACGTACTGTCAAATAATAGTAAAACGGTGATAATTTTGCTGAAACATGCAAAATAGGTTAATGAATAAGGAATACATTGATATTAAATAGTGAAATATGGGTCAAATGTTGTCAATGAAGTGAAGATTGGTGATGATGATGATGATGATGTTAATGAAAGAGAAGTATACCAAAGTGAAGTCTAATGAATTCGAGAAAAGTAACCAACAAGGAATTGTTAAGGCCAATGTAGAGAAAGTGGTTTCACAAAACGTTATTGAATGCAAAGTTTCGGTTTCTGTTCATGTATAGCTAATACTTCAGCTCTATGCACAAGTGATGGGAACGTAAACCTTTAGAGTAGTTCAATTTAACTTTGTAAATTACTTTAAAGGATGAATCTCGAGGTTCTGAATGACCTAATTTTACTAGGTGTTCATATATGGATGAAGTCGTTTTCCCTTGCTCGCCTTTGGCAAGCCAAACCAGGTGATGTTCAGCAACACGTTTTCGGAGGGCGGCCTGCTTACAACCACCAATATAGTCAGCTCCACAGGGGCATGTGAACTTGTAGATACACATAGATGTGGACATAAGTGGAAGCCTATCCTTCACGCATTGATGAATCAGACGGTGGCTGGAGAATACCAATCTCAGTCTAGCAACATGGAAGCTACTATTGATATTGACATATGATTTTTCAGCACTTCGGCTGTGGTATCTCCTTTGAATTCTGGATTCATGGTTACGATTTTCTTACGGACTGTAGTGGGATGGGGAGTGATTTGTTTCTTCAGATTCTTATCAATAAATCTTTTAGAGTATCGGTTATTAGATAGTATAATCCTAGAAGTTTTGATTTCAGCATCCACCGTATCTTCTGGACATATCGCATAGATTCTGGAACACAGTGAGTGAATGAGATTTCTTTTACAACTAAGAGGTACCTAACTATTAAAGTTAGTGAACTGGTCGGTCCAGGTTGGTTTTCGATAGACTGACCTTTGAATCGAGCCATCATTTCTTCTCTTTAACACTACTTCTAGAAAGTGGGACGTTGAACTCTTCCTCTACAGTGAATTCAATGGACGGGTGACAATCATTAACACGTTTTAGAAGCTCATCTACTGAACATGTTTTATCGCAAATAAGAGAAGTGTCATCGATATACCTGTTATGCAAATAAAGTTCCGAAGTTATTTCTTTAAGGGGGGCGTTCTTGAGCCTTGCCATAAAGATATCAGCCAGGACAGTGTCTAGTGGAGACTCCATTGCGACTCCGTCCGTTTTATTATAAATTTTACCAATGTATCTAAACTGTACATTAAAAGTATATCTTAATATTAGTTCTTTTGGGTGGCTCGTAGGTAACCCAATGTCATTATTATTAGAATCAACGTGATCACATAGATAACAAACGGTTTCAACCAGTGGAACATTGGTAAATAAAGAACAAACATCTAGCGATATCATACGCTTACCCGTTACGTTGATTTCTTCGATGCAGCGAACAAAACCAAATGTATCGGGAAGACTATATTTGCATAGATTTGGTCTCACCGGTTCAAGCATTTTAGCAAGCCCCTTTGCCAATAAGCGATAAGTTGAATTAAGCATATCCAGTACTGGGCGAAGAGAAAGACCATTTTTATGCACCCTCAGCAAACCATATAAACTGGGCATGTTTGGTAGTTTAATCTGCTCTTATCTTCCTCTAATCTGACTGGCCCCGACTGGCTAGTTTCACTTATGTACTTGACCTCGCAGTCAATGCATGGAATTTGGTAGGTTAGATTATTTTGTTCAATTGACTTTATCGGATGCGTAAGCCATCAAAGCTTATCTCTGAGTGGGTTTGCAGGTTTAAATGCCACCCTAATTCCAGCTTGAGTTACTTGACTTACTGTTATTATTTCGTTTCCTATGTGTTCATACTAATTTCTTAATACACGGTAGAGGATAATTACTGACATTGGATGAAATGACTTTAAGTCGAGATATACATGTCGGTTTCCAGTTGACCACAGTATTCAAACCACCGTTTGCCCTTCTTTTCATCCTGCAATCCAATATAGGTAATTCTCCTTGTTCATTTTCTACCTACGTCTACTACTGATTTTATATGTGAGAGGAAATAGACGACGTATTCGGATTTCAACATAGTAAGTGTGTCATTCACATGTCGCTATCATATCTTAGGTGCAGGATTGAACGTTTGTAATGCCATGTTTTCCGACTATCCATAAATATGTCTGCTAGGATTGAGGAAATTGGCAATCCCATTACTACTACTTCTGTTTGTCTACATATTTTGTCCTGAAACGTGAAGAATATGGACGTCAGGCACAACTGTACTGATATCATATTAAGCGTAGTGCAAGTACGAATAATAACGACAACATAAGTAAAAAAAAAGGAGTTCACAACCTCCATTGTGTTACCTTATAAGGAAGGAGCATCAGAAACTTTACACAGAATCCTCGACAGAGCCGGAGTGAGGGTAGAATTTCAGCCAAAAAACTCACTCAGAGATAAGCTTTGTCGGCTTTGGCACCCGATATATTCATTCAGCGAAATAATCTAACCTATCACATTCCACATAATGACTGGGAGATCAAGTACATAGGTTAAACCAGACGGTCATGGTCAGTTGGAGTAGCCGAACATAGGAATATAGTTAAATATAGAATGACAGGTCCCAACAGGGTCAATAATCCAAGAAAAATACTCGGCTACTGCAGTACATGCATTGGCACATAACCGCATAGTAGGATGGGTGAGATAAAACCACTGTACTCTGAAATACATTTGGTTAACGGTAATAATTTTTTTTAAACTGTTATCTTCTACCCCTTCCTGTGTCATCTGTTGTCCAATTAAAATAGACGATGAAATATCCTATCTTATTGTTTGCACGAAATCAAAAAGTACTATGAAATTGAGCAAAGTGAGGACGGGATGCTTCGTTTTCATGTTGAGCAACGATACCGACCAGTGTTGTAACCAAAAACGAATCAATCTTTATGGAGCGTTTTTGCCTCGCCGCGTTTCCGTCCTTACAGTCTTTGAAGGTCGTCCTGAAGGAGTATGAGAAACAGACGTATACACCACATTGTGCAAGATTCCCAGTTGCAAGGTGACCTAAGAGCTTACGTTAAGTTTGTTTGCTTTAAGGCTAGTGAACACCGGTCAATTGGTGGTGTAGTGAAAAGGTCAGTTCTGTTTGTTTTCATTATTTACTTCATAGAATATCCTTGAAATGTTCTTGTCGGGCCTTCGTGCTCGCGAAGTTCTTAGAAGGTTTCTGGACAGTTACTAGGTTGCTGTTAACTCATAATCATCCTTGCAATTCACTGCTTTATGACAATAGTTCTTGGGCGCGGAAGTTGACAGGAACTGAAGTGGAGAGCATAAGGCCATTGCTAATATCCGGAACGGCTGCATTTAATGTTATTGATTTCATTTATGCACGACTGAATAGTCAAGATGTTTTCAATATGCTCTATCGCCTCTTCGCTCAGTGACCGGTAATTGAATTTTCCCTTGTAACGATGTTGTAGGCAGTTATGAAAAGTTGCAGGCGCATATAATCAGTCTCTGTCACAGACGACAGAGATCTGAAATCATTTTTTTCGTCACAGCCGATCACCTGAAATTAGCTGAAAATTGTCTTGATCTACTGGGTCTCGATGGCACTTACAAGACTAGTAATGAGAACCTTTTTCTCTACGAGTTTGTAGCCATCGACATCAATTTCATACCTATTCCCATAGCTTTTGCCTTCATAAGCAGTCAGACATCAGAAGTGATTGGTGCATTTCTGAGGTTTTTTTAAGATTATTATTGGAAGCAGCAGAGTGGTTGCATGGTAGAATACCCATTCCGGTAGGCACAAGTACAGAACATCTCGCAAGAAACAGTATTTCAGGTGGTAGTTTCGAGGAAGAGATGGAATTGACGGCTTTAGCTGTGAATATGATCACGGTGGAAGACCAGTAACTGCATTTGAAACAATTTCGCAATCACCTATAACACCCATTACTCATCCAGGCAATAGCTTAACCGTGGACCTAGTGTCAACTATCAAAAAGGGACTATGAAGTTGGTCGCTTGGATCTCTAAGGAGATGGACCATATAGATGTAAACGAAGAGGATGATTATATCTAC